AGGAATAGTAGTCAGATTAGTGTTATGTATGTGAGGGGAGGCTTGTCCTGTGACTGTCAGGCACTGATGATAGCAACATGTTCGGCCTGGCAGCTTGCAATATGACATGTAGAAATTAGTCCTTTATCTATTGGAACAGGCCTCCAGACGTTACAGTCAGAAAACCACAGCTAAAAGGACAACATTTCAAATTATTAATGTGATAGAATCCAATATGGAGAAAATGTAGAGATAATTATAGATTACATCATCTAAATTTCAATGGCATGCAACACACATTACACCTGCAGCTAATTGTTTCTGAGTTAATTTTAGATATTTACATTAGGGGTGTTAAATCTGCAGGTTATTTTCATATAAATTTTATCTTCAAATTGTTTTTCATTTTGGTTACTTAACAATAGTGTCTCTCTCAAAAGTATATCCACAAACACAAATACTTGGACAGAACATCAAGGGCAACAAATCTGGCAACAGCTGCATGAACCGACAGTTGAACTTTAGATGTTCCTTTTCCACAATCCCTAGTGAGATTTAAAAAATCATGATAGTTTTCATGTTGCAGTTCGGATGTGTCTTTTGCCTTAGAGCTATCAAAGAGTTGCTTCTTGTGATGCAGGGAATGTTGATGCAGCTGCAGATAGAGAACCCTTTCCAGCGTTTTAAAGGAATGACTTAACATTCAGGGAAATACTCTTGTTCTCTTCATGTTGAATCTTAGTTTAGAAATCTTGGCAGCGATCTCTTGACCGAGCATTATTTAAAGAGCAAGTGATACATCCATTAGTTAACTTCGCATGACTGAAAACGCTAGCCTATTAGGCACTCCCAAATGTGACGATGCACCTACCATCACTTCTACCTCTCTCTTGTTAGCATGGCTGCCTGGTTCATGTGCACACAAACTGACATGTAAAAGCAGCAAGTGGTCATTGTATGGCAACCTTTTTTTTTTGGCAACCAGCAGCCAGGTGACTACCAGGAGTCTTTGCTTGTAGCCTATAGCAACTTGAAATTATAAGATTCCAGGGAGTCACTGACCCAGAGATAAGAAGTTGTAGCATGGATTTTAAAACTAATACGTATCAGTCCACGACTTCGATTTAGGTTGAAACTTGTTTACAACTATTGTGTGGATTGCTATTTTACTGACGTTTGTGCTTCCAAAAAGACAAAAATGCTTTTTGACTTTTGCTACCCCCTGGCTTTTTCTTTAAAGCTGCCAAAAGGCTTTTGTTTTCAGGTTGAAATGTAAAATATTTCCTATTTTATTCCAATTTTTTTATATCCTTTGACTGAAATAAGTGCAAACATCATATCGATAATTCAGTGAATGAGGTACCCGTGTTTATGAAAAGAGTCATGCAAAATTAGCAGGCTCAGCTGTACTGAGCAAATGCAAGCACAAGCTAAACACTGGAAATAAGCGTATAGACCCTTTTGTGTTGTTGTTTCTGTGCCATGGTAGCATTTAGCTAAAAGTACTGCAGCCGATAGCACAGCTCAAAGGTCTTCAAGAGGGGCAAAGACTCTACTTTTTACATTTTGTTTTGTGTGCGGATGGAACACACAAAATACTACATGTTAAGAAAGACAGATTATCATCTCCTTGAGTTAGCTTCATATTAAATACACAGTTCTAGAGGTGTCAATTCTTTCATCTAACTCTTAATAAAATCAAATTGCATCATATAGAGATATGCAATCTGGAAGAAAAAAAAAACCTGCAGTGGCATACAGCCACACTGGTAATGTGAAGTATGGCAACACAGTGAGAAGGCCTGACCTAGTATCTTCTTTTAGCTGCTGTCTTATCATCCGCCCGCAGCCAGCCATGCAGGGGCACAGAGGCCTGACATCCAGAGGAGAGAGAGGCACCAAAAAAGAGGCTGCAGAAGGGTCACTGGGGGCATACAGGAAAACATCTCAAATTAAACTTATCGAAAGACTCTTTACTTCCTTGTAGTTTCACTTTTTTGAAATTAATCCTCTCCATGATGATACAGACACAAATATTTGAGTTGTTTATTTTGGAAAAAGAAATGTCACTGTCCCAACCCTGTCACTTTATTTCCTTATGGGTTTTTTTTTTACCACTCAAGGAAGGGATGAGTTGTTTTCAAATCAATGGGCTTTAGTTTACTGTCCGTTTCAACGTCAACACTGACTACAAGCCAGACTTCTGAGTCAACTTGTCCATCGCCACACCTTGCTCTTCAACAACACACAAAATAGCTGTGTATACAACCCACAGGTCGGACTTTTTTGAAGCACATACCGTAGTTGGCTGTGTCAGCTGGGGCAAGGGCAGGCATGCTGTTAAATAAGAGCAGCGTGTCACGTTCTTGACCATGAAAACACACAGAGGGGAGGGTGGAGAGGGGGTGAGAGAGGGAGACACTGTTGTGAACTCTCACCTATTTATCCAACCAGCTTGGGGAGACTGTGGGAATGTTGTAAAGTCAGGCAACATCAGGGAAAGCTCAGACATAGACAGAAAATAAAGACGCAGACAGTGGAGAACGCGCTCTTCTTCTCTCTGTGTTTTTCTGTGTTCACAGTGTCTTGAAGCTCGGATACATCTCAAATGTTTGTCATCACATTCACAAGTTCACATTTAAGACTAATTATGTCAAATACCTTCCATTGCATCAATTGTGACTCATATATAATGAAGTGGCAATACATTCTACAAGGACAGGACTTGACAAGTTAGGCTCCTGTCTGATGATTAGTTTAAGGCGCAAATGCACAAACTGTTCTTGTTCTGTTACCGGGATATCATCATTTCTGACAAAGTGTCTGTGTGTGTTTGTTGTGTGCATGTGTGTGAGTTGCCTAGCACCTGGTAACTGTATAGGCTGAAACCTTATCATCCAGCCTTTAGAAAGCTCATGTGTGCGATCATCTCTCACTGTTCAGGTAATAACGTGACAGTCTAGGGGGAAGAAAAAAGTAGCTTACTTACTCACTAGCTGTAAGGTGTGGTTCATTTGTTTTCAATTTGCGTTCAAGGCATCCACCCAAAAAGTTAGTTCTGATTACGCATACAAACATGCACATGTATAAGTGAGAAGCACATTCCTGAAACCAAACCCTGTCAATTCAGGTTCTCTGCTGAATGCTGCTGTTTGCTGTATACATATACTGCAGCACCAAACCAAAAGATTTACAGTACACTTTACTGGCTACTTTCCTTTATTTCACTTTGCTTTTGTTTAGAAGGCTATGTATTACATCATATTTAAAAAGCATTACATCATCTGTAAAACTATTGAATTCTTAGCAAGTAACTGAGCACTTTGTGCTTTTTGCCTGAAGGAACTAAACAAAAAGCAAAGTGCACAGAAACATAAAGTAGTCATATATGCTATAATGAAGACATTTTGAATTTAGCCTTATAGAAGAGCATTCCAAGAGGAGACGCGTTAGGATCACAAACAAAGTTTAATAGCATCACAGTTTACCGGATACAGTCAGGAATAAACTCACTACACATAGATTTCTTAAATTCAGAAATTATTATCAGATACTATAGATTTCACAATGATGGCTCCTACTGGGCTAAGTTACTGTAATCAAGGAGGACTGTCATCAAAGGAATCCAAAACCGTCAAAAATTCCAGTGTTAAGTGTCCTCTGAGTGACCCAACCAGTTTTGTGAAGGCGGAAAATGACCAGTTATGGCCAGACTGGTATTGCAATAAATAGTTTTCCGTGTTTCCGATTAAAGAAAAAATAACGATTCGCTTTGAGTGATATCATTTTGATGCAGTTGTAAACATGCTCTTCAGCACACACTTGTTGTACAGCCTACAAAAACACAAGCAAACAGTGACAATTAAAATCCCAGTAAAAAAACACTGAAGAATTATGCACTTCACGCAAACACAACCAAGATGATCTCCAAACTTAACATGCATAAAACACACACACACACACACACACACACACACACAGTTACATCAACAGTATCTGTTCATTCTGCAGTAATGAAAGGCAGTGTCTTGTCAAAGACTTACAGACTGCAGGGTGTAAAGGTGACCACCAGGGGCTTTCAAAACCACTCTACAGCTCATTGGTTACACAAATACTGCATTCTGAAAAAGAACCTCGGATTGGTTGGTACACAATGAGTGGCATGTGGAGGTCCTCCCTAATGAAAACGCTGATGTTGAGGGGGAGGGGGAAAAGGTCTATTTACAAATGAAATTTAAAGTAACAGTATCACAGGACATAGAAACGTATCTATTTTTTTAATTTGTATTCTCACTAATAATTGCAATGTGTAGCCTATATATGGCAGGATGCTTTTCTGTAAATTATTTGTATTTTCTTTTTAGCAGATGCAGTATTCAAATCATGCACATCATGACAGAAACATGGTAACCTTATGGCCTTTGCATATTTTCCTCTTGTGACAGAGTTTCAAGATTTAGCAGGGCAATACAATTATACAGTAACATCCCAAAACGAAAACGTCCATATAATAACGTATCTATACAACACGAAGATAAATACAATCCCTCTTGGGTCCAGAGTTTATCTGGGAGTTGATGTAACAGCTTGGTTACAACGGTCTATACACATATTTTCTGTGGGTTATACATGGAGTGGAAAAAAAAATCAAGTTGTCAATTCAATCACTTCGCTGTCAGCATATCTTAATCTTTTCTAGTAAGAGAAATATGTTATATGAAGCTATGTTAACACAGACTCGGCATCAGTTTCCCATCCCCCAGCTCTGACTGAAAACATCAGGGATGGTGAGAGTAGAAGCTGATCCGGGATCAGTCCCTGAGCCGGGTCTCCATCTGGGTGCAGGTTGACAGCTCCACTTGCCTCCCAGCCCCCACCCTGTTACCTAGAGAGGCCCGGCTTGTGGCTTGTGTAATATTCTGATTGGCTGGTTTGTTTGATATGGGCGGGGGAATGGGCGTGGTCGAGCGTATTGTGATCTCACAATCAGCTGTTTTGTACGTTCTACATTCTGATCCGAGGATCAGCTGGGGGCAGCAATAAACAGAAGGAAAAATCTGCAGCGGAAAATATAAAGGAAAGGAGGAAAAAAGCTGCAGATGTTATAATCTAAAAAAAAATAATTAGTGTAACATTTTTACACGAAGATCTTCTTCTAAGAAGAAAGCCTTTTATTTTTATATTATGGTGTTTTAACTACCTCACTTGAAGACTATCTAAAGCTGTGCTTTAAGAATTTTTGTCGTTTCTATTGTGTGTGAGATCTCGTTTACAACTTGAAAAACATTGCAAAGGCAGGTAAGCTATTCTGTACTTTTTAATCTCTTACTTGTTGTGTTTTGTCTTGAGGCTATGTGCTATTAAGAGGTAGGTTATCGAGCTACACTTGTCTCTGCCAATGTCTCTCCTTTAGACCTCAGCCTATCTGAAGAAAATATCACAAATCAGCCTTTATTTAATGATGTAGAGATTATGTCCTTGTCTTTATAGCGGATTCATTAATAGGGGTAGGCTATCCTTGACTGCTGTGTGATATAATTCGTGAGGACCTATTATTAGGTCAGCAAAGATCTGAAAGCAGAAACCCAAACGAAAGGCTAAATTAGGTCCATTCGACGTCCTGTATCCTGAAAAATGACGCCAGTGTTCATATTATTTCACAGGTTGCCAGCAGCCGATGTTTTGTAAATTGCACCAAATACTGATGTGGAGTCTAGTCGATGGCGGATGTTGATGTTTTTTCTGGGAGGCGGACCTTGTAGACTGCAAGGTTTTGTTAAAAAAAAAAAACTCACTCATGTTATTCAGAAGAAATATCAGTTTTAATTGTATTGTTACTAACCTATCTAGTCGATGACTTTCGTGCAGTGTCACTGAGCCACAACTGTCATTGCTTTGACCCCTCAGCTGTAGGGCTTATACAGGACAGCCTAATTCATGTCTAACCTGGATACCCTACAGAAATAGTCCTGTCTTTTCTCTGACAGTCGGCAATCTAAGGCCGGGGTAGAGGTTTGACTTTGCTAGATTAGCCTACATAAAGGTGTCTCTGTCGATTTGCAATGCAAACATTGTTGCTATGAGCCTTTTTATACCGTTTTCAACTTCAGACGGTAACAGTCGACAATAACCATCGCACACACATTGGTTATTATAGCAGAATATAATTTGTAATGACGAACCGTAAACATTAATAACATTTTACAGTTTCCCTGCGATTGCAATTGAGCCTTATTTTTTTTCCTCCGGTCGCCAAACAGACTGAAGCCTCTCTAGGATCTGTAAGCGTCCGTGACGTAAATGAACGTCTTGTTGCGTCTTGTTTTCATTTGGCGTCGCCCCGCCCATCAAGCAAAGGTCCCGCCCACTTTTTTTAAAGAGACAAACCAACAAAAAAAAAAAAAGACCATAATACATGTACAATTATTTTTAAATTGGAGGATGTGCTGTTATGCCTTTTAACCATGTGATAATTTAATAAATCACAAATTATGACTTCTCTGTGCTCTTTGGGATAACTGAATAATAAATCAAGTAGGGATTCTTTTTCTTCAAATAGCCAACAGGACTGCTGAAATTTGAATCCTTGGATTATTCTAAATTGTTACATTTCAAATTTTCTTCTTAAATAGAAACCAGAACAACCTGTTGTCTCAGGGTGGCTGTTTTAAAGCCATTCTAAGAATAGAGAATAAAGGCTTATCCTATAAAATGAGGAGCCTGTATAAACATTGCCTATTCAAAAGAAAGTTTTGTAAACACCAGACATGAACAAATCCCACTGTTTACTTCAGCTAGGCTATAAAGAGTTGAATAAAACAGAAAAACAAGTGAGAAAGGTTAGAAATTTAAAAGGAAAAAAACAGGTACAACTTATGAAATCATTAGTCCACTTGTTCCTGTTTAACTTCCAATGACATTTATCAGTCTTAATGGGTGGTAGTGGTTAGATAATGTCTCAACATGTCTTAAGGTCTCCTCTAATAGAAGCCATATCAGTGGTGAGTAGTCTACTGGTGCATGTGTTGTCAGTATCATTAGCTATATTTACACCAAGATAGCCTGGATGAGTTTGTACAGTCACCAAACTGATAAAATGGCTTTAACTGGAGGTTGCTTTCTGTATTTAGCTTGTGTGTTTTGTAAATATATGCTGCACCTTATGCAAAGCAGCCCTCCAGCCCTGTTACCAAAAGTTTGTTTGTCTTTATTCATTTGTCACAGCCTCCTGACTTAAATTTAAATTTGTCCAGGAATGCATTAAAACAATCTCGTAGCTGAGGATTGACTTCAGAAACTCAGCTCAGACTCAGGTTATTATTGTTTTGGGTTTTCTCTGCAAGCTCCGAAAACAAACATAGGCCTTTTTTAATACTAATTAATTTTATATGTTTTAATCATGATGTAGGGTGTTAGTATATCATACTCCTTAAGGAACGCAGTTTCAACATATTAGAAGACAGAAGACTAAACAGGTGTCTGATTTTGCTGCTTTTCTCAAATCTTTGAACCCCTTTCTCCTCCGGTTTCATTTGACTCTCAATATCTATTCTTATTTCAAATAAGTGCCCATGCAAATAACCAGTTCAACAGTATCTATATCTGTTAAAATGCCTTTTAGTCCAGCTGACACAAGTAGAAGAGTCTGTGTAGATAAACAGAGGATGTTTCTTCCCTTTCTTAGTCATGGCAATTGTCCAAATAAGGACAGAAAGTTACAGCTTCCCATCAGGCATTCATGCACATCTCCTTTCATGTCTTTTTGCTCTGTATACAAGTCTCACCTTTTAATCCATGCACCCTCATTATTATTAACCTCCGTCATTTCTTGTTCTACACATTTAGCAGGGGAATGTCAGCAGTACATATTGGGTTTCCATAATAATTTAAAAACAGACCTGGCTGGGTGTCAAACATATTGTGTACTTAAATAAATTATGTTCGAAATATGAATCTCTTCTACCTTAAGACATGTATCAATATAAAAAAAATGATTTACAATAATCAGGTAGACAGCCTGCAATCAAAAGACAACTTAAATGTTTCGGCAAGTTGTAGGAGATATGGTAGAGATTTGCACTCTCTGCTCCCTTCAGTCACTTTTGTTCTGCTCTCATATGGTTTAAGTAAATAGAAGTCAGCCTTTGAACATGGTGGGGTTGTCTTGTCAGCAATGGCTGTTCAAACATCTGTTCAACATTACATCATCATGTTCACATTAAGGTCAGGCACTTGTCCTTTGCTATTGCACCATTAGTAATGTCTCTGTTATTCTATGCATTTTCACATACTACACTGTCAATTTGTTTGATTTGGTGAATTTGTTAATTAAAACAAATTGTAATTCAGTTCTTCTCTGACAGTGGTATTCACATCAGGTTATTTATCATATTAAACTTTGATTTTTTTTGTAGGTTCTATCTCAGCACTGCCAAACTCTTCAGTTAAATTGAAGTTTTAATTACTTCTTTATCTCCTGTGTAGCTTTTAAAGCTGTGCTGCATTAAAAAATGAAGCAAAACCAAGTTCCAAATTATTATATATATTTTTATATCAAAGATGGGTCAAATTACCATTAAACAAGTCAACCACAGTGACAAAGCAAAGATGCTTTTCCACCGCATTTGAGCATCTTTAAGGTCACTCTTTCGGTTAACCGGCACACAACGTTGCAGGTGCATGTAGCAGCTATAATCTGGTCAGATATTTCACCCGACAGATAGTCAGTGTTTTATTATGTTACAATGTTTAGTTATGTCATATTTATGTTTTAAAGATTGTTGTACTGCCACCAAGTGGTGAAAAAGGCAGTCAATGAAACATGAAAAAAAATTCTACTGAGGATTTTGAGTTTTTGAAACTAATTTTAACTGTAAAAACATGTTAACTTTACGCACAACATCAGGACTTTTTATGAAATTTGAATGGAACCTGGAAATGTGTTGATTTAAGAAGCTCTCCTGCCACATTTGTCTGTACACCTAGAAAAAAACATTTTCTATTTTCGTACAACGTGATTAGTACAAACCTTTCAATACAGATCAAAAGGCTTTGAGGTTAAAGTCTAAAAGATAGTTCCTGCATGCTGTGATGTGTCCTTAAATAACCCACAGCTCTTAGCACACACATTGCTCAGACACTGAGATGCAGGAAATTGACCCAATGACAAACTGCTCTTTGGTAGATTTTTTTTAAAGAAATGTGTTAACCCTTACCAACCGTCTTTCTCTCTCTCTCTCTCTCTCTTTCCAGGCCTTTGCTCCAAACCAAGTGAAACCTTACATTTGCACTACTGAAGCCTCTCCACACCTATTTGTCAAAACCAAGATCCAGCAAGGGCTTCAAGTTAAGAAACAAAACTTCACTTGACAAAAAAATCAGTCACAGAATTGCATAAAGCAGCAACAGCGATTCGTAAAAACACAAATAAGAAATCATAAAGGCAGCTATAGCTTCGTCTTTGTTGAGGACTAAAAAAAAAGCACCCGAGTCATCAACACTTGACAATACAAGCAGTCATGTTCCAACGTCTGAGCAACCTGTTGTTTGGCGAAGTAGAGGAGGTGGCAGCTGAGCTGAAGGGACCCAACCCATGTGTTACGGAGGCAGATGAGGAGGGATGGATGCTTGTCAACCTGCCTGGTGAGTCTTAACAGAGGGAATTCAGTGGTGGGTGGGATTGGTGGATGTTGCATAGAAGAGCCACTCTAAGCTGGGAAAATATCAAAGTTTCCGTTTTATGATTGAAGACAGTGGGTAGATAAGAAATATTTCTTTGTTCTATCTTGCATGTCAATAACACAACTAACATTAGAAGTGTAGAAGTATATAACGGGGATGATGGGGTGAGGTGAAGAATCAGTCTGGATGTGCCGCAACTTCACTCGCTCATATGGCTGCCGCAAGCGTGGTGTCTGTCAGATGATGGAAAAATACATACATCCCCTTTCCCCTTTGTGTATTATCTCACTCATGACAAAGGCAACTATTGAGTATTTAAATTTGATTTGCTGCCCGTACAGTTAGTCAGTCAATCATCAAAAGCAACATAAAAGTAGCTCTTAGCAGAGTAAAAGCATTATGTCACTGACATAATCACAACCTTAGAGGGTCAACACAACTAATGATGTGACTCTTATGTTTTTTGTTTCCTTACCCTCCTTCTCCCCCTCCTTCAATAAATTTAAACACCCCTACATTCCCCACACTGGTATGTGTGCGCGTGCGTATGTGATTCCCCCCAAATTTGCCCACTTCATCCTGCATGGCTTTTTTTTTTTTAAATCATTTTTTGAACCTCCTTGTTCCCTTAACCATTTGTCCTTTTTGGCTGTTCCATTGCTGCCATGCGCTCAGAAGAATCTGACTGCATGATGCAGGCGGAGGCAGGGACAGGAGCCCCACTAATTGCACAATCATGCCCAGAAAGTAACCAATCAAATCATCCAGACGAACATACAAGGACTGAATGCCCCGTCCTGCTTCCAAATGTGCCTCAAAAGCGCCGTAGGACACACAAAGGCCGGGCACGAGGTGCAGTAGCGTCATCAGAAGCCCTTTTTTGTCAAAACGCTAGCCCGTCAAATTTGGGTACCACTACATCCGTGACCCCGCCGAGACGGGCCAGACTGTCCACGCCCTCCTCCACCCCGTCAGTTTCCTCTGGAAGTGAGGGTAGGGGCAGTGGGGGTAGCAGGGGTAGGTCAGGCCCAGAGAGAGGCTGCATGGATGAGAGTTGGTTTGTCACCCCTCCCCCCTGTTTCACTGCAGAGGGAGCCACAGCGGAGGCCAGCCCGATGGAGGACCTGCTCATTGAGCACCCCAGCATGTCTGTGTACGTTTCCTCCAACAACCTGTCCATGGTTTCCAACGGCAACCTGTCTGTGGTGGGAGAGGAGAGCATCGTGAGCCTGGCCAGCAGCGTTAGGTGAGAAATGTAGCACCATTTGTGCGAGATACACTTGACCCTTCTCTCTTAATTTAGACTCCATTGTAACACACTCTTATTTTTCCTTGCAGCAGAGTGGCTGAACCAGCTGCAGTCCCCGCTGCCCACGGCGGTATGCCCACCAGGGTGACCCGTGGAGCTGCAGCCCAGGCTGGGGCGCTTGCCAAGGTCACTCAAGTTGCGAGGGTCCAGCGTAGCAAAGCCCGCATTGAGCGGCGCCATCTGGGCCGCAACCGCATCCACCGCCAAAACCTCACCAGGGAGCAGGTCCCCCGCAACGCAGCCCTCACCAGAAACTCCTTCCTTCACCAGCCCAGCAAGCGCAACGTCTGCCACTAAAACCCCCTGCAACCAGGGGGCATCGTTTACTCTGAGGGCATTAGTAGTGCATAGTCAACTCCAAGACACATAAGATTAAATGTACCCACCCACTGCATATTCACTTTACATTGTATAAAATGAAGCTCAAATACCACATACCAGTAGCTTTTTTTTTAGTTTTGGTCCAAAAAAAGGACTCTACCTGCTAGTTTTAGGACCCATTCTGTTGAATTAAACAACGCCCTCTGAGTAGAACTGCTTAGACATGTATCATGCTTGTTGTCCATTGCAGTATCCAAACAACCTAAAATATCTTTAAGGTATTTATACAGGTTTGACTTAGTAACATAATATCTGAAAAAAAAAAAACTTTAGATCTTTTGATTTTTCCTCCTATCCTCGTAGAATATTCTTTTTTTTCTTTAACTATTCCTTGAGGCATGTTTCATTAATTAAAACTTATAATCCCTTAAATTCTCTTTAATTTTGAGATAATAGTTTGAGGTATTTAATAAGAAGTACTTTACCATTTTACGGGTGGAAACAATGCAAGACAGAGACAAATTATGCCTTGACGAGAAAACAACTCATCATGTCTTCTAAGCTTACTTATTTCACAGGCGATTATTGTTTTATTCCGTTAAAGGTGGAGGGAAATACCATGTGTGACGAGTGTGAGAGTCAAATCATTCAACAGGTGTTTTTCTAACAGTCAAGGAAACATGGGGCAACCTGTTTCATTATAGGAAACATTATGTGGTGATATTTCTCTCAGCTCACTTTTGTAAAGGTTGGGAGCAAGTAGAAGATGGTGAGAGTATGAGCAAAACAGACTAAAGAGTAATTGAATAAAAAATTAAGACCAGATTCAAAGGAATGTGATTTACATGAAATGGTTTCAGGAAAGTGTTTTGTAACCCTCTGAGCATATTAGAAAATGGCCCTTGTCTTGCATATTTCATTTCTGAATAAGGCTACATCATTTAATATGAAAACTAGTTTTGGCCATATTTATGGAGTAGAACTCCAGATGAGTTGAAAGGATGCAGGGCTTGCCTTTGGGTTACAGGGAATGGCAGGTTACAGTAAGTGTGTAGTGGTATTGGTGGCAACTCTTTATTTTGTTTTGTTAGATTGTTTTCTGCTCATTTTGTCTTATGGATCATACTATTATTTAGTGGTCTCTTGTCTGCATTGATTCCACCAAAGAAAGAAAAGAAAGGATGTACCTGTTAAACAAATGCGTGCAAATAACAAATTACACAACATAATGATCATTAAAAGTGTGGTCTGTACTCTTAAAAAATTGTGCCCGGCACACATCAGTCATTTTCATCCAAAAATGTGTGCCGTGATCTTTTTAATTTGAACACCAAAAAGTAAGTATGACCTTTTCATACATCAACCTCTCTCTCTCTCTCTCTCTCTCGCTCTCTCTCTCTCTCTCTCTCTCTCTCTCTCTCTCTCTGAAAAGCACTGATACCTGTTGGGACAAAAAAAAAGGATAAAAGTCTCCTCAAAGCCCACCAACACCCATTCCCCATACAAGCACATTGAAAAACGATCATCTTAACACAGATGTGCTACCTCCACTTACTCCATGACTTTCTGTCCTATTTCACCATCCCACCCAGCACTAACAGTGTCCACTAGAGATCTAGCTTACTGATGTGTATTCAACAACAATAGTAAACAATGGTGCTGAAGTGTATACTAATGTTTGTAAATTATATGAGACATGGATGTAAGTTTGCACTGTCATACTTTTTGTGAGTTAAAGTTTTAGCTGTGTGCCGTGTGCTTGTTTTTTTTTTTGTTTTTTTTTTGGTGTGATATTTTTTTTTTCTTTTTGTTTTGATTCCGATTGTGTGTGAGAAGGTGTACTGACATGGTAAATGATAGAAACTCCTTAAAGAACTGAGTAATTCTTGTTTATTTGTCTTGTATATATTTATATATATATATATATTACAAAACAATTCACAACGCTCCAGTAGATGTCGAAGCCTCCCTCAGGACTAGAGTCCAAAACGTTGTGTCTTGAATGATATAGGACAAACAAGAACTATCTCTCTCTCTGCCTCACCTCTGTGCTCATTATCAAATCAAGAGGGCATTTCAGAGGGCAAAAGTGGCATCTCTGTTCCAACTTCAGTCTCATCACTTTTGAGATGCACTATAAAAAGAGCACTGGACTCAAAGTTGATGTGCCATGGGCAAACACTGCCCTCTAGAGGGTCCGGGTAGCACCGCATCAGCTGTATGGATGCTGCTTGTGAGGCTTGAATGACAGGGTTTTAATATTGGGGTTAATGGTACAGGAAAAAAAGTTGGGATTTATTTTGTATGGCTTGGGAATGTCTTGTCTTTTTTTTAGATCATCTAGACGATCAGAGAGCTATACTATTTCCTCTTGAATCATATACCACAATTATTTCATTTCTGCCAATAATCTGATCAATAATTATTCTATTTAACATCTGCCATTATCTATTAATTTATGATGTCATTATGAGAATTTATGTTTTCTGTATAAAGATGACTATTATGTATTCTGTTGATTATTCTAAATGAAGCTGATAGAGGTGATGAATCTGACACACACACACACACACACACACACACACACACACACACACACACACACACACACACACACACACACACACACACACACACACACACACACTTGGAAGCAATGGTTTGGTATATGACTGAATGTGACACAACAATAGGGAGAGGGAATAGAGTCTGGTGAGCCTAAATGATGTGGACAGGAGACAAATAAAAAAACAAAAACACATTTTATTATATTATTTCAGTAAAATAGAATATGCTTGTATTTTCCTGTATTGTTATTAGAACAGTTGTTCACCAATAGGATGTTTTAAATGAAAGGCGTTGAATGTCTGGCAAGCTTTTATGTTTTTTGTGGTGCCCTGAAATGATGGCAGCTTTAAACACTTGGGGTTTCGCCCATGTTACATCTCAACTAGCACACCCCTCCTCCCATGCAAATGAAATATATAGTCATGTAAATTTTGGTGTATCTGATATCTAAAGTATGGTGATTGTGCCTTTCACTACTTCTGCATGGTTTTTGTGATGTACTGATTTCTCCATCCCTAAAGGTGGCGGATGTCCACTGACAGGCAAGACCTATGCAAAATAACAGGATGGATTTTCCATCATCCATTCAGAATATACAGGTACCCGCCTAAAAACAAACAAAAAACAACAACAACAATAAATACTCAGGTTAACACCTGAATCTTGTGTCATTATTTCCATGGGGGTCAGCTGGAGGTGAAGTGGGATAAGATCATGTGGAGTATTCAGTGTCGTTAAGTCAATTGAAACTGGCAGTACTACAATACAAACACTCAATCATAAGTAAAAGCCTTGATTTCTTAATAAGACAAGAACGGGTGTATCATTAGTCAAATCTGATTCAAGTATCAACAGTTGAAATACTGATTGTGCAGGTATTTGGACCCTTTAATAAATAAACACAAATTTCATACAGACTACTTTAAACATCAAATTTGAAGAAACGGGTCAGAGTACTGATAAATGCAGTTATAATTTACAGTATCAGGTTAAGTAAACAAAATGTAGTGGATTAAAAATAGGCCTTCTGTTACCTTAGATGTTAGTATGGATGTAGACGTAAGAGAATGCTTTATAACCACAAGCCAAAAGGTGAGACAGGTGTGGCAATGCAGTGTAATAGACTATTTGAATGAATATGGGTGTGGTGAGTTTATACTCAACCAGGAAATAAAAGGGATTACGGAGTAAGAAAAGGGTTCAGATAAATCCCAAATGCAGTAGCCTACACTTTGCATCTCATTTTGTGTAAACAAGCCAAATGTAAAAGAAAAATAGGCAAGCTAAATTTGTAGCATTTGTATAGTGTGATGAAACATCCTGATCCTGAAGTGTCCTAAAGTAAAGCTGACCTCTCTCTGGATTACAATGCACTATCAATTGAGCCTTTTAGGATCCTCTACCCACTACTTAATAGGTGGAGCACCAACAAACGAGTTAGGTCATGGGAAGAACCAATGTTTGTAATTGGATCTGCATTCTGCAGACTTGCTATAACCTGTCTATCCACTTCCCTACAAATCAACAAGGCTTGGAGAGTGTGTGTCCATGGGAAGTTGACCCTTTAGTCACAGTCGTAATACTGGATTGGAAGCGGCTTGATGCACCTTTGCTAAAAAAAAAAGAAAAAAAGAAGGAATTTGTCATCAACAGTGGAGATCAGATTTAGAGGATTTTTAAAGGCCCAACGCCATTTATGGAAGTAAGTCTGATATTGGTGCCTCGACGAAAACATACTCGGAGGAAACATAGGCTAATTTATGTAACTTAAGAATATTACATCCAAATTGAAACAGTAAAAGTATTCTGCTGGATCTTGGTTTCGTTGTTTAAAAAAAAAAAAAATTAAAAAATAAAAAAAAGCTTAAGTTACAGTAAGCTGAATTTCTACGACAGGTCTTACCGGTTTATCCCGAGTTGTAACGTGAAGCTAACTTCCCTTCCTGCCGTGTAGTGTCGTGATTCTAGCAGCTCTTGTAGTCTTGGTGACGGAGAGCTACTCATACTACTCACGTCACCTGCCATGTTCAAGATCCCCTAATAACACCGTCTGGGATGCTTTTTTATTTTTTATTTGACTACACTCATACCAAGACAACGGTAAGTGACATTGGCAACGTATTGAGCTTTTTTTTGGGGAGGGCCGTGTGGTTTCCGCAGAATTACTAGAAACCTGCTAGCTTGTGGCAGTACACGATATTCTTCTTCTTCTTCGGGGTTTAAATCCGCGTTCGTGTTTTTTTTTTTTTTTAACACTTAATACTGTTGTTAAAAAATAAAATATTAGCATGGTCATGTAGTTCGCTTTGCTGTGGTCGACACAGACATGTTGTCGCATGTAAATATTTTGCGGTAGGCTTTGGGTGCTTGCTCATGCACGGTAAGTAGAAGGAGAATAATAAACATATAGCTTCATTGTCTGTGTCATTAGACAATATGTAAAGATGTTATCTAATGATATAGGCTGCCCAAAGGTTTCTCAAAGGATATGCCTCTCTGAAAACACGTTGACCTGCATGTTTTGCTTTTTTTTTTTTTCATGCAGGTGGAAACCTACATGACTGGAGAAATGCATCATCATCAGAGCAACACACCCCTGTCCTGGCTATGAAGTTGATTCAACAAGAAAATAGGGTTACAGGAGAATTGTGATATAATGATACATTGAAGATCTAAAAGAAAAAAAAAAAAAGTGGATGTATTTCATCAACACTACAGCAGCACTGGATGAACAAAAGATTGACCCAGGCAAGAAGCATATGTGACTGGAGTTAAAGGTGTCTTGGCCTAAATCCCCCCCCCACACACACCTTAAAGATAAATACTGCAAGATTAACACTGTAGCCATGCACAGCCCTGCCCCTGATATCGTGGCAGGTTATCCAAGTGGATGCCTGGCAGATAAAGATGCAAATCCAGAGACAACCTTGGGGAGTGCCTACTCTCCAGTGGACTACATGAGCATCACCAGCTTCCCGCGGCTGCCAGAGGATGAGACGCAGTCTGGGGAAAACACCCTTAAATCGCGCAAAGATGATGACAATGCCCTGAGTGAGCATGACACTGGTGAGTGAGGCCAGATCGGAGTCAGTGACAACACGTTCTACCTTCGAAAGAGAATATGTAGTTGAGTGTTTTTAGGTTTCTGTATGAGCACGCACAGAGCTGCATTGTTTTCCAGTCAAATATCCAAAGTGCTGTTTTCACTGCTTTATTGTTTCACATTATTTCTAAAGGTTGGATTCAACAATGGGCTGCTGCTAATGGAAATTTAGCATTACCGGCCTGTATTTGATTATGATTTTCAAATTTTCTTGGTTAGTGCTTTTATCAGTGTAATATGAAGAGGTAGTAAAAATGGTCCCTCAAAGTTTCTTAAGCTCTTAAGGTCAAGTCCTCAGGTTCCTTGATTTTATTTTCTGACCATCAAACAACCCCAACATTTCCGAAGTTAGTATCTTGTGTGGCATAGACGAGCACCTACTTTGACAAGCTAGATCCAGAATTTTGAATGACCTTAATCAATGATAAATAATAATACTGATAATATGTTTTATTTACAGGCACTCAAGGTCATTAAAAACAAGAAATTACAATTGTTAAAATTAACATTAAAAAGACAAATGTACAGTGTATGACTCATTGTGTAGAGGATTTATGAGACAGGATGGATAATGAGCAGACGGAATATGTCACTTTAAAAAGATGTGTTTTGAGATGGGATTTAAAAATGGAGCGAGAGTCAATATTCAGAGCGGCTGAAGGCTCTGGACCCCATGGTGGACAGGCGTGCGGGCAATGTACATTCAGCCAGAATTCCCAATTATCCTCCAGTAGTTTATAAAAGGACACTTTTTTTATGGAGTTTGATCTAAGGGGGAGAAAAAAAGATTTGCAGTATCAAAAAGCTCTTCTCCTGGTTAATTAAACCATTGTTGTTGTTTTGTCGATCAAGACCCAGATCTGTTCCTGAAGTCAGCTCGCCTCCAGCGTCTCCCCTCGTCAGCTTCGGAATTGGCTAGCAATGATATGGCATCCTTGCGGGAGACCACCAGAGACCCCTTTGTAGAAGACTGTGCCTGCCAGCGAGATGGACTAACGGTCATCATCACAGCGTGTCTCACTTTCGCCACTGGAGTCACAGTAGCTCTCATCATGCAGATTTACTTTGGAGACCCACAGGTAAGGGTTGTATGTGTTGGATGTGACATCTACAGTTGGACTTGTAACCGTTTTGCTTTAGTGTTACTTCCTCATGGAATAATTTTGGGTGATTATGGGATTTTGAATAATTTTTAGTGCCCCCTTCTACCTTCCAGCTATGTTCTCTTGTTTTCCTTCAAGGTCTTTAACCAAGGGGCAGTGGTAACAGATGTGGCGCAGTGTACATCCCTTGGCTTTGATGTTCTCGGGAAACAGGGGTCCAGTGTTGATGCCGCCATCACCGCTGCCCTCTGCTTAGGAATTGTCCACCCTCACACCTCTGGTATTGGAGGGTGAGTGATAGACACACAAATCTCTTCTTAGCAGGATTATCACTAAAGCTCTGTGACTTGGCTGAATGGCATTAGCTCAGTGGGCGGCAGTAGCTCAGTCTGTAGGGACTTGTGTTGGGAACCGGAGGGTTGCCGGTTCAAGTGCCGGCACGGACCAAGTCCGGAAATTGGCCTGGTAGCTGGAGAGGTGCCAGTCCACTTCCTGAGCACTGCCAAGGTGCCCTCGATCAAGGCACCAAACCCCATAACTGCTCTGGAGCGCTCGCCGTGGGCAGCCCCCTCACTCTGAGACCTCTCCATCTCCATCCTGTTTGTGCATGTGTGTGTATTTCGGCCTCATGTTCATTAAATAGAGTGTAAAAACCGATTTTCCCCTAGCAGGATTAATACATCATTATTATTATATTAAGCCAGCTTTGTGCTCCGTTGATGTTACAGCGGTGGAGTTATGTTGGTGCATGACATCCGTAAAAATGAGACAAGGATCATTGACTTCAGAGAGACGGCGCCGTCTGCCATACAAGAGGAGATGCTGCAGAGGAACCTTGATGTTAATGTAAGTAATGTTTTTTGTTTGTGATCAGAAGACATGTTTTTGTTTTTGTCTAGTATTAGTGTTTAGTAATGTTTAGTAATTTGAATTTCCCTCTGTATCAATAAAGTATCTATCTATCCAGTAATTGTGTGTACACCCTTTTACTGCTTCCAATTTAAGTCGGGCCTGCTTGTGGGAGTACCGGGAATGCTTAATGGGCTGCATCAGGCACACCAGCTCTATGGCAGGTATGGAAACTTTTAGATAATCTCTTTATGTCTTTACTCTTTGTCAATACCATGTCATGAATAGCTGTCATTTGTGTTTCTGGATTTTCTGCATTCCTCACTTCATTGTTGTTTAGTTCATTTCAGTTCAGTCTTTTATTGTCCCTGAAGGGTCATTTTATTTACAGCAGTAGACAAAAAACACAACAAAAAAAAAAACATAGGACAATGCAACACAACCTGATGGGGAGGGGGAGACAAATTCCTCCAAGAGGGGACGGTCAGAGCTGGCCAGACTTGACTTTTCTCACTATTTGTCTGTTTCAGATATCTGACAGGGAAAGTTGCTATGTGCCAATTATTTTATTGGCTGTTTAAACAATACTGGACAGATGATTTGTATTGTGCACTGAAAGGTTACCACCATACCATGAGATAAAACAAAAGGTTAAAATGGACTCCATTAAAGATCAGTAGAATGAAACCATCATGTCTTGTCCACATTAAAACGAAAAGAAAGTAGAGTCTCTGCAGGCCCTTTTTGCAGACTGCAGTTGTGTTCTGGTCATGATTCTAGTTCTTATCAATGACTGTGCCCATGTACTTGTAACAGACAACATTCTCAACAGGTGTGCCTGTGATCATAGTTGGGAAGGTTGAATGTCAATCTCTTTAGTTTTGTTGATGTTGAGCTTCAAGAAGTGGTAGTCGCACCACTCCTCAAAATCTTTCACAGCTGGCCTGTGATCGACCTCTCCGTCCTGGAGCACACTAATTAAAACGTGTCGTCCGTAAACTTCAGGAGAGGGCTGTTGTCATAGTTGCTCCTGCAGTCTTTTATATATAAGATGTACAATAAAGAGGACGGGACACACCCCTAGGGTGAGCCTGTGGATGAAAACCACTTCTCCGATTGAGCCCCTTTCGCCCTTACTGCCTGGGGCCTGCATGTTAAGTAGTCCAAGATCCAGTTCACCAACCCAGCATCAAACTAAACATTGGAAAGCAGCTTATTTGCTAAATTGTGTACACGTGTCGAAACCAGTAAAAGTTAGATCCAGTAAAAATCCTTGAGAATACTGAATCAAACCCGTTTGTGAGTGGCAGGGATCAGACAAACACTGAGTCACAGCCAACAAAGTCCATGTGATGATAAGAATATTAGCTCCATTCTCAAATGTGTGCAACAAGCAGTGTGACATAAATAAGATGATTACACACTGACACAACGCTGTGTTGTTTTGTGGCATCGCCCTTATAATTGAAACATAATGCATTATAATCATTTTAGGATAAGAATAACACAATCTTTTATTTTTTTGTCTGCTTGAATGAGGTCTGCGTGCAAAGCGAAGGGGTGATTTCATGAAAGAATCACCAGCTGTGTTAAGAAGGGAATACGTTATTTTTAAGCCATTGTGTTGGGCTGCAATTACGCTGATATGTAATTACCACGATCCTGATGTCTCAGCTGTTGAGAAGTGGATGTAACTGAAAAAACTAACTTGCTTTATCCATGCAAGGGTAATGCACAGATATCTTGGGGTATTGTTTTTTTCACAGTAATCTCTAATATATTGATTTATAGTTTAAAAAGGTTTTACAAACTTTTATGACTTTTGGATTCCCTAGGATATCTTGGAATGATGTTGTTACCATGGCAGCAGATGTGGCCAGAAATGGATTTAATGTTACTCATGACCTCGGTAAGTATAGTGTTAAGATGTCAAAATCACTGGGTTAAGTCACTATCACAAATGACAATGTGCCTGCAAAAAAACATTAACACTGTTTTTGTATAGCCTCAGTGTTGTTCCTGAGCCACACTTTGAGATTAGGTGAGATCTTTTTTTTTTCTTCTTCTTCTTTCCCCTCTCTGTAGCTGAAGCTCTGGCTAAAGCGAAGGATCAAAACATGTCAGATGCATTTCAGGACTTGTTCCTTCCAAACGGACAGGCTCCCCTCTCTGGGCTTTTCTCCAGACGTCTTGATTTGGCAGCCATCTTAGATGCAGTCGCTGTCAAGGGGATATCTGAGTTCTACAGTGGAAATCTGACGCAGGAAATGACGGCAGCAGTAAGATATTATTGTCATTTATTTTATTTGTTTTTACCCTTGTCTGCTTCTGGGTATATAGGTGGTCACAAATTCTGTATGCTCTCCATGAAAAGTCACATTTACACCTCAAACCTATGATTAGTGCTGCAGTATCCTTTGAAAATAACAATGAATTCATATCAAAGATAAATCAGTGGGCTGTATTTGTTTTGTAACAAAATAATCTCCAAAATAAAAAGCCATATTTTCATTATAATTCCAGAATTAGTTTAGTGGTTATTATCAGTTCAACAAAAACTGCAACGTTTTTTTAAAATATTATTTTCTTCCTTTTTTTCAGTTATTACATAACTTAATATTAAAAACATTTGTAGCTATTATTTGAAGTATTAATCAATCAGATTGTAAGGCTGGGTTGTCTTTATATTGTTGTGCTTCAAAAGTCTAGATTCTAATGTAGATATTTATTGCAGCTAAACATTTAATTCATTTTCAGAAGTGTGGATGGACTGTGTTGCATTATACTGAGAAGTAAACTCATACAATTTAAACTCACTGTGTAATCTCCAACAGGTTCAAGCAAGAGGCGGCGTGCTCACAGAGGATGACTTTGGAAGCTACGCCACAGTGTTACAGCAGCCAGCAGAGGTCATCTATCAAGGTAAATAGCTGGATTAATTACAATGGATCCATATGAGGTAGCATCCATAAAACTCACTTGACCCGAAGCAAAGATCAATGAGCACCTTGATGATACCTGTTTTTAGGGGCTGTGTCAAGATTAACTTTATTGCTGCTTCCAGCTACATGAAGCTAACCAATGAAGTAAAAATAAACCGTCCCCCCAAATATACCATCAAGCTTGCCCCATAGAATTAATTATAAGCAAGATTGTACAGGAAGCAAAACAAAAGGGGACTTTATAACTCACCTTTTTTGCCTCTTTTTGACTCCACAAACCAACAGTTTACTGGAGCGCGTTCTGCATAGTCTGCTCTGTCTTGCAATAAGAGTATTGGCCCGGTATCCCCATCCCACTATTTAAACTCCACATGCTCCTTTAGCTGCTCTTTTATACAAAGTAAAAAAAAATAAACAGAGTAGTTTAGTACCCATATGTTTATGTAAGTGATTATGCATAGTGAGCGAGTTGTGATCGTGGACTGGGGACGAGACCCCTCAGATTCACATCAGGGTCCTCCTCACCATGGTTCCTCCCACGCTCCCTATACATAATCTTTCTTCTTACATGGCTACTTAATAAGGAAGTTAAAAATGTGAAACAAAATGTTGATTTGTAAATATTTTAATTCTTTTAAAAATGATATATTTCTTCCATTAAAAAATAACAGTCAGAGAGAATCTACATAGCTGTGTCCATAGCTCATTTAAAGAAGGCTTAACTAGTTCTTACTGACATTAAACTGAACATATACAGTGTTTCAGTGATACCAGGTGAACAGGTCTGCAATAATTAGTGCAGCACCTGTGTACACTGAGTTTTTCTGCCTCATCATTATGTGAGTCTGTCGACATTTTCTTTTGCCATTAAGCAGTCTTTAAACACCAAAATGGCTCATTACATCATCATCTACTGTTTGAAGTCAGTGTTCAGAGATTTTGTTTATCACGCAAATGATTCAGGATTTTATTTTCACCGATACAATTCCACATAATCAAAATGATTATGATGTCAGCCGTATGATATGTTGGTGTTTTCTGAAGGACGCCATGTGATGACGGCCCCAGCTCCACATGCAGGTGTTGGCTTGATCACTGCTCTGAACATCCTGGAAGGCTTCAACATTACCAGCCAGATGCCAAGGAACAGCACTCACCACTGGGTGGCAGAGGTAGTGTGCTAACTGCTTCACCACTATACAGCAAATACGATCAGATAAGTGCAGTAACTGCTTTGCTTCCAAAATTCATTTTAAATCTGCGTTCCTCTCCCAGGCTTTAAAGATAGCTCTTGCTCTGGCTAGTGGGCTGGGAGACCCCATGAACTCTTCTGTGTCTGAACTAGTCATGAAGATGCAGAGGTAGAGGTTTCTTCTGTATATAATTAAAATATAAGATTTTAATGGAAGATTAATGGAAGAAATAATATAAGATTTAAATTGAATGGTGCCTTTTTTTTTAATCTCCTCTCCATAAGTAAATCACAAGCTGACTTTTTCCGCCAAATGATAAACGACTCTCAGGCCTTCCCTGCTGACCATTATACTCCCTCTTTCACCTTGGAGGAGGGTGCAACAGCTGCCCAGGTCATGGTCATGGGCCCAGACGACCACATCGTGTCCGTCATGAGGTACCTTGTGCTTTAATTGAACTGTGTTTTTAATATACTTAGTTGAAAGTGCCATGATACCACTGGAAAACTCCTACTAAAACCAGTATACTTTTTGTGTCTCTTTCAGCTCTCTAAACAAACCATTTGGCAGTGGGATAGTGACTCCTTCTGGAATCCTCTTAAATAGCCAGATCCTGGACTTCTCCTGGCCCAATAAAACAAAAAGCTCATCACCTAACCCAGTAATTGTGCATTTTGTCTTAAGTTAATTGAGCATGTATTGATTTCTCAATGAAGGTATGTCTTTTAGCAGCTTCTTAGCTCTTATGGTTTTTGTGTTCTTTTGCTGTAGCATAACAACCTGCAGCCTGGGAGGAGACCCATGTCCTTCCTGATGCCCACCGCCGTGAGGCCTGCCGTGGGGTTATGTGGCACATACTTAGCTGTTGGATCTTCCAATGGAGAAAAAGCTCTCAGTGGAATCACACAGGTAATTGAATGACTTCAAGAACTTTTGAAAGGTATGCTTGATGACATTAATATCTTTCTAAAAATACATTTTAGTTTGTCCCTGTCCATTTTTTTGCAACTTGTTTATTTGTGTTGTAATTCAATATTTCTTTTTCTGTTTTTGCTCTCCCTCAGGTGCTTCTGAATGTTCTGTCTTCACGTAAAAATATGAGTGACAGCTTAACATTCGGAAGACTCCACCCGCAGCTGCAGCCCAACATCCTTCTGGTGGACTGTAAGTTACTATCAATCCATCACTAGTGTTCATTGGTTGATCCAAATGTATCTGAGTTCATACAAAAACTAGGATTGCAGTGCATCTACAGAATGTCTGTTCTGATTTTAACAGATCATATGTATCTAGGTATAGTGCCCTTTTGCCAGGAGTTACATTGTCATTAGACTTTTTGTTTCCACTTTTTGTGAAATATTCTTGTTGACTTGCTTTGCTGTGAAAAGAATGATCTTGTGAAAATGGCTTGTAATGGAAATACTTGCATTTTAAAATCTACCTGTAATCAGAAAACACTTTTCTAAAGTTACTTTACAATGAAAACCAAATAGCAGATTATTTTGATAACTTTTGAATTGCCGTTACACAGTTAAGAAAACATAATTACAAAATTGTTCCTGATTCGGATCATCAGTTGCAGATTCAAAGCATATATTGTCAGTCTAGTCTGTTTTTTTTTTATTGTTATCATAATACATGAAGCAATGCTGGAACAACCAAGTGGCAGGCTGTAAACTTAAAACACTGTGTCTCAGAACTTCTTGGAAGGCAACGGGAAATATACATATTTTCTAAGACCTGTTTTAAAAGAGCTAACTGATTGAGAAAGCCTCATGTTCTCTTGGAGCTTGTTCCACAGTTGAGGAGCGTAGAAACTAAAAGCAGCCTCATACATGTTCCTCAGGACCCGAGGGGTATGGATTACACATATTTTGGCATGATACCGTTTATTGCTTTACATACTACGAGAAGGATTTTAAAATCTTTCCTTTGACTGACAAGACTCAGGTGTAAAGATCTGAGGTCTGTAATGTAATGTGAACACTTTTACTAACCTTAATATTAAGTTTGACAATATTTTCCAGAGTCTATTCTTCTTACTAACTTCAGATCATCCTCCTGTTTTCCCACACTTTCTCTCCCCACTGTAGCTGAGTTTTCAGAGGAAGACGTGGAGTTGCTGCAGGCCAAAGGTCACAAGGTTGAGAGGGCAGAAGTTCTCTCATTGGTGGAGGGCACTCGCAGAACCAATGACCTCATCATTGGGGTGAAGGACCCTAGAAGTGCTGATGCCTCTGCACTCACTATGTCCAACATGCCCTAGTGTATGGCTTGTTCCCTCAACACTTGACATAATGAAGAAGTGGTAAGAGTAACACTGTAGGGTTTATGGTTAGAGAGGGAATACCTGCACGTCAAGTTATACACTAAATATAAGATAACAGGGAAGTTCGACATCTTGACTGTCGCTGCACTTTGTCTGAGATTACCTTGTAGAGATTTGAAAAGGATCCTGGATTGTCTAATTGTTCAGTCACGCAAACCTACAGCGTATCATCATCTCACATCCTGATGTTAGCATGCCCTCTCTCACAGCCTCAAGCAACATCCAATGCCCATGTGTATAGTAGATAGTGTTAATGTCCTATATTACAGGGAACAGGCCATAGAGATATAAGGCGCATTAACTGATTTATGTCTGATGGATTCCAGTTCCCCTTACAGAGTACAAAAAATGTGCGGTATGGAGGTTTAGACTGTATTCTTTTGTCTGAAGTGACAAAAAGAAAAGGGGAAACTTTCACTGCACTAAGTGACAGTTTGTTTCTGGCCTATGATGTACTAAGCATATACTCTCACTCTAAATAAGGGATCAGGAACTGGGATGGAAATGTATTTAATGAACAAAGCGATCTTGAACCAAAATGGGAAGACATGAAGGAAGTAATGATGTCACACCAGGAAACCACCGCTTGCCCCAAATGCATGGTCTTGGGTGTACTGACCCACCTAACGTTCTTCGAAATGATGAAGGTAATTCAACTAAACATGAGAGAAAGCATTGCACTATCACACCTTAACCTAACTTTAAAAACACATCAAAGAGGCTAAACCATTTACCCTCCTGTTCTTTAAATTGTATTTAACTGTGTTTAGATGTTGTTTGGTACAGCTTCTGGAGTTTTAACTGTTGCAAATGATTAAAGGCTTCATAGGACCATGTTTAGAATAATACATAATTAAAACATACAGAAATACAGCAAGATTTTCAGATTTTATTTTATTTCCTTAAGATTTAGCTCACAACTTAACATCTGTTATTTAATATGAATGGTAGATTAAGTGTATGGTTTAAATATAAATTGTATTTGTTCTCAGTTAAAGCTTGTGGCTTACTTTTTTAAATTAACCAGCAATTCTTGTTTTTACATTGGAAATGCTCAGATTCTTTAAAAATTGATTGAATGTAATCTGTCTATTTTATATGAATATTTGTTGGGCTGTATGTATTTTTCGAGTGTTGGAACAAAATGCATTCAACAAGCACATTTGAGAAAAAGGCTGTTCATTTTTATTCTGTGTACTTGTTCATTTTTTTTTTTTTATTAGAAAGTTTTGAAGTTTTGAACCATCAGCTTAAAAAAACGGCATCAAAAAGTGATTTATTTAAAAATGACCAGTGGTCTCCACTCAAACATGTTGTTAACTTCTATTGTTGGCACTAGTGCAATATGACTGTTGATGCTTGTTTCCTGTACTGTAGAGTACCAGCCTTTAGGCACACATTTGCAAAACACTTGATGTTTTTTTTTCTTTTAATTTCATGTGCATTTGTATCTGTTTTATTTTTATTTTTTTCATTTAAAGAAATCAGCTGTCCAAACCCAGGTATTAAAATGTTTGCATACATCCTAACATTGTTGAAAGTGTGTTCATCCATAACTGTGCATTTGATGTATATACGCTTCTGTAGTTATAATAAGAGAGCTTTGCAGATACTTGGATAATACGATGGATGACTTCACACCAAAACTGCTGCTGTATTTTACAAATTCCAAAAGGCTTTGTTTATAAACCTGTGAGTAATTTAACACTAATGTAAAGTGTGATTAAAGATCAAATAACCATTCAAAAAAATGTAACTCTGTAATCCTTTAGGAACACTGAAAACTACGCTTAACAACATGATTTCACCATTTGAAGAAAAAGACCGGATTTGCAAAGTGTTAGTTTGATGAAAACATAACAATGTTGGATGTGTTTTTTTTGTTATGAAAATGAACGGCGCGTTTTGGACGTCACCGGAAGTAGTTTATTTTTTCTGCCAGCTTGACGTCGTTTCTTCTGACTTGCTTGTGATTCATGTTTTGTTAGCTAATCCGGCTAGCAGATGTCGACTGGTTGAACTTTATTTTCAGAATATATGTGGTAAGGGTTTTTTTTTTTTTTTTGCATGCTTATGAGTGATTTATCGCTGATGCCGTATGTGGTGTTAAAGCCAGCACAGCGGAGAGTCGCTACGTTGTGTTTAAACGAATTCATTTTGAGTTATCTGGAGTGCTACGAAGCTAACTTAGCAAACCACTGCTAACTGGAGCTTCTGAGAACCTCAAAGGAGCCGCCTTGTCGTCAATATTCAAACACTCGTAAGAGCGACGCCTGTTAGAAACGCATTAATTAGATTTCTTGTTTAAGAGTGTGCAGGCTTGAAATGCACTGTAACATTGTATTCAGGATATTTGTCTCTTCCTTAATTTGATATTGTTGCGCTACCTTAGGTTTGCGCTTAGGCCCGTGCTGCTGCAGGGCCGACCGTGTTAAACAAGTTGCCCCATAGGGGTTTAGAAAGTGAATGCATAATGTCACCGTGTTTGACTTAAATAAATAACTCGGTAACTAAGATTGTCCGTCCACCTGTACGGCTTTTGACCTTTTTTTTTTTTTTTTTTTTTGACGTGTCTGCTGTTTCACGTATGAAAACAGCGTCCACAGTGCTGTCACTCAGGCACAGGTGTGTTTTTAACATTACATCTGAAACATTTGTCATTCATTCACTTGGATGTGTGCTTAAAATAAGTAATATCCAACTTTTTTTTTTCTGATGTTGTCTCACCGTGCAGCGTATACCATTTGAAGTGATAAGTTGTAGAGAACAGCACCAATTTAACCAGCTTTATCTACTTTATTACATTAATTTCATCTTCAACAATACTGATTGTATTTTTCATTCTCTGTTGCTTTACTGCTGTGACAAAGGGCGTTTATAGAATGACCAAATGCTCATTTTGTCTGTCATTTGTATTTTCAGCTTAAAACGGTTCAAACGCCACTCCTAGTTAAAGGGGAGGATGGCACATCGACGTAACCCGCCTCAGTTATCCCAGAGGACAGAGTACCTGGAACCTGATAATGATTCCGACAGGGACTCAGGTGTTGGGGAGGATGCAGGGGAGGATGCCGACGGATGCCATGGATGCGCAGTTTCAGAAGAGGAAGAAGTAAACAACCGAGATGGTACAGAGGAAAACGGCAGCGAGGATGGAGATTTTACAGTTTTTGTTGCTTTTCAAGGGAATATGGAGGACGAGGACTTCAAACAAAAACTTGAAACTATCATCAGTGGCATACCAAACATGCTTGATATGGGTTGGTTTAATATCTACTCTTTTAATATAAAATCTTCTTCAACTTTAAGACATTACTGGTGCATTTTTATTAATTCTTACACAGATGGGAGCTGCCAAGTCCAGTTATCCACTGTACTGCTCCTGCTGTTCATTTTAGTACATGATAGCATTTTAGGTCTTGCAGCCTTCCATGCTTTATTACTTTATGAATACAAAGGCATGTCTTGGATAGTGGAACGTAGCATTCTTTAGAGGTATATTTGCTTTCTTCGTTTAAAACAATTTAGTATTACAAATGTTTATTTAAAACGTCCATATTTTCAGTTTGATTTTGTATATTCCAGTAACAATAACATGTCCATCCGTACTTTGTCTGCAGAATGCTTCACTGCACATACACTGTAACTGTAACTTTGTGTCAATTCATTGTTCACTTCTAGGCCCTGATAGGCTACAGCCACAGCATGTGGAGCCATGGAACAGCGTGCGGGTTACCTTCAACATTCCTCGTGATGCTGCTGAGCGACTCAGATTGTTGGCCCAGAACAACCAGCAGCAGCTCAGAGACCTGGGGATTCTCTCAGTACAGATTGAAGGTATACGGACAAACTTAAGACTGTTTTCTATTTCAAAACAAGATCCCAAAGACAATACCAAAATAAATGAATCCAACAAGACCTCCTGTTGTGACTATTGGTTATAAATGTTCCCTCTGTTTAATTCCAGGGGAAGGGGCCATCAATGTGGCTGTGGGTCCAAATAGAGGACAAGAGGTCAGAGTGAATGGACCAATTGGAGCACCTGGCCAGATGAGAATGGATGTCGGCTTCCCAGGTCAGCCTGGTCCAGGTATTAGTTAACTTAGTTGTTTACAAGTTGAATGTATACCAAGTTAATAGAAACACCGTCTAATGAGCAAACATTTGTTGTTGTCTCATTTATATTGCTGACACACCTTTATCTTAAAAGAAAGAAGTAAAATAAAAAGCTGTAAAGAGCTTTATAAACTTTGTATTTCTCATTATTTACAATACAATACAAAACTTTATTTTCACCCCAGGGGGAAATTTGTCATCACAGCCTATCACAGTTGGCCCAGGGGTATACACATTGATAAACATGTAACACAGGAAATAACACAACCAATATTTTTTTATTAAGTTTCCTAGTCAATACAGTAACATAAGCTATTTTCTTCTCCCCCCACTTATTGTATATTATGTTAATATTTCCATAGGAGGGGTAAGGATGCCGAATCCATCAATGGTTCCTCCTGGGCCTGGTATGGCAGTTCAGGCTATGGTACCAGGCAGCAGTGGACAAATGCATCCTCGTGGACCCAGACCAACTTCACAGACAGGTTCTGATCTTTTTTTCTTCTTCTTGTGTGTCTAATGGTATGTAGGATTTGATCACGGTTTGATAAGTACCTCGGTTTTGGAGTCAAGGTTTGAAAAGAATTCAGTAAAACGGGAAAAAGCAATGATGCACAATTCTAGGTTTCTGTCATTTATTTTGAAACCCACAGTAGTAGAAGATACAGTTTGTTCTATCTAGTGTCATTTTGAACTGCCTGTGATAGTTCCTACAGTCTGGCTGTAGCGTATTAAAATTAAGCTACAAAAAGAAAAAAACAAAACACATTGATGCAAATTTAAAAGAAACCGTAATGAATACCATCTCCTGATTTGAAAAAATTAACATGAATACAATATAAAGTAGGGGACAAAATAAAATACCTGTCTCAAAAGCAATGTATCATATTTATGATATACTTGTGAGTCTGTGAGGTCAAAATCCTCCTGCATCCCTATGTGAGATCCAAAAGCAGCTGTGGAAGCTGTTGGATGTTCCATTCAGATCAGATCCCCATGGGTCGGGCCGCACGTGATCTGCTGAATCGTGACTTTTCTCTGTTTCATCTCACCGTGTCTGTTGCATAGAGGTATCCGCTGGTGGTTACGGATGACAACAGTTAACATTTTGTTTTTACATCAAAACATAACAGCCTGCTGTAGTTTGTTCAAACTTAGACAAACTCCATTACAGAGCGCTGTGTTTGGTTACTGGATATAACTCCAGCTCTATAAGTACCTTCGTAGCACTCTTAACAGGCTTTGCTATAAGTTTGGTAACAAAAGGCCTACTGTTATTGAAATAATGCAGCTTTTTATATTATAGTCAGTTGTACTATGATTTTTAAAAACACTTTCTAACTCCTTGTATTATTATTATTATTATTGGTATAAATATTAAAACTGATTTTAAAGGAGCAGGCAGGTCGTCTAGCTTCCCTGTGTCATCTTGCTAGAGTACTCTAATTTTGTTGTGTTTTGTTGTGTCTGCTTCTTTTGCATTTGTTGTTTAATAGCAGTTGACAAACAGTTACAAGCATTACTGCTACATTGATTCGGGATAGGATACTGCCATCTGTGACTGGCTTTTTACCTATCGGACGTATTCATTGTATGAGTGCATACACCAAACAGTGATGTCCATACCATGATGATTCTGGATGAATACACATACTGTTACATCTCATGAAACATGTTGTAAATCACCCTTGAACAGAAAAATAATGAAAAATTACTTCTCCTGCTCTCACAGATGTGATGGATCCAATGATGCCAGGTATGTCAGCTCAGCAGCAACAGCAACTTCAACACCAACAAGCTGGTCCCCATGGGACTGGCCAAATGCCTCCTCAGGCTGCCCATCACATGCAGGCCCTACAAGCCGGGAGACCTCTCAACCCAGCAGCTCTGCAGCAGCTACAACATCAGCAGCACCAACAACAACAACAACAACAACAACAACAACAGGTCCAACAGCAAGTTCAGCTCTCTCAGCTCGGACCTCGACCTCCATTCAACCCATCAGGCCAGATGGCTGTGCCTCCTGGCTGGAACCAGTTACCCCCTGGGGTCCTTCAGCAACAAGCTCCTCAAGGAGGCCCTGCCTGGAGAAAGCCTCCTCCACAAGGCCAAATTGTTCAACGCCCAACTTCCCTTGCTACAGTTCAAACTCCCAGTCATCCCCCACCTCCTTATCCCTTTGGCAGCCAGCAAGCTGGGCAGGTATTCAATGCAATGGGACAGGGGCAATTACAGCAGCAGCAGGCTGGAGTTGGTCAGTTTGCAGCCCCCCAACCTAAAGGCCCACAGGCTGGCCCTGGTGGGGTTGCAGGAGCGCCAAGAGTTCCTCCACCTCTTCCCCCAACTTCTGGGCAGCAGGGCAACCTCACCGCCAAGTCCCCTGGGTCCTCATCGTCTCCTTTTCAGCAGGGTT